CAGTCAGCACTTAACACCGTGGTGAACCCCAGGCCATTTTCATCCCCTGCATCACGGGCGCCACTGACCTAGTCCCAGCAAATCCTCATTGTAAAAGGGGATGCCAAGGACTGGACTGTGCGAAAAATGAGTTTGCGTAAGGCACAGTTTCATGTTCTCCCACCCTCAAGCTCCATCAGTTCATCTGAGGAGATATGTCTAGATAAATCTTTAGTCCTAGCTTCAAATTGATTCAGTTGGCTAGTTTGTTATTTTAGCTCATGGTGTAATTGAAAAGATACATAAGCATATATGCAGGTATAGCCCAAGATTTAGCAGGAAGGTTAACTTCATTCTGGGTTTTAGCAAATGTGTTTAAACTCTGTTTTAAAATAGAAATCTAAACAGCCCCCAGCACCAGATGATGAAAGAAATCAATCCCTATGGTCCCATCCTCTCAAAGCTTTCCCACATCCTAGGTCTCCTTCTCCACCTCTTGTCTTTAAAACTTTTATGCAGGTCCTAACAGGTTTCTTTCAGTCTGAGCCGACGTGGTTTGATTAAAGCAGCACTCACTCGTCAAAAGGGTGAGTCCAGGATGCAGAGCGGAAAGTGGCTCAAAGGATGCTGTGACAGGCGGGTGGGAGGCAGACCAAATCGCTCAACTGGCCTGCACAACTGTGCCTCAAATTACAACAAGGAAGCAGAACTGAATTCTGAGAAATGAACAGAGTCCCAAGCAAAGCTTGGACTCCAGACGTGGTCCACAGATAGGGGAAATGTGAGAGCAACGCACAGAGCAAACTGGATCGCAGCTAAAGTGGCTTGCACAACCACGACTCACGTCTTCATCTGTCTGCAGGTAATAAGCGAGCTTGATAACACACACCTAAGTGTTATGTGAAAACACAGCGGCCTTCTGAGGATGGATTCCTCTTAAATCCAAGTTCTTTTGGATCTGAATTCCTTGAAGGGTTTGCCTCTGTCCTTGGAACAAGTGGCTGGAAATAGCAGGGCAACTCCGCACATCAATGAGGGTCATTGGGTGCCTGGGAGGCAGCAGGTGAAGGGATGAAAGGGAAGCTGAGAAAAGGGGGGGCCGGGGGGAAGAGTCGGGGTGCTACAAGGAGCACAAAAGCCAATTACTTTAATTATTTTAAAACCCTCGGTGGTGGGTGACCTAGATCTTTCAGTAACAAGAGATGGATGATTATCTGCATTTGATTGATGTATGACTATACACTAAATAGATATAGTCATCCAGGGTAATCACACACACATATATGTATGTGAATTCAACCTGAAGTTGTTCACATTGTCATAATGTCAACTTTCCTCCACCCAACCCCAATAAAGTTTTCTTTATTTAGAAGGTTTTGTTCTGGCTTTTATTGTGAACGTTGAGGAAGGGATGGGGAAGGGAGGGCAGGAAGGGAGGAGACTGCACAAACCGGATGACCTCAGAGGGAACAGAGCCGGCCAGAGCCAGCGAAGAGAAGCCTCCCAGGGATCTTGACCTGGCTTCAGAAGCAGAGCAGAAACACACAAGTGCACACATGGTGGCCTGGGTGCAGCCCAGGAGGGGAGGCATAGTGACAGCAGGCTGGTGCCCCTATCCACACAGCGAAGGCCTGGAGGCGCTACTTTCCCTTCAGCTCGCTGGCCTCAGCCACTGTTCCTCCGGCCCAAGCACCACAAAGAAGGCAAGAGTGGGTTCTTTTCTGTTCAGTCTTTATTTACAGCAAAGTACAGAGTATGTGGTCATTTATGTAACTGCTAACAGTAAAGGCAGGGCAGTAGAAAGAAAAGGGGGAAGCGCAAGCATCTAAGAGACCAAAAAAAAGCCTACGTCTTTATTTACCACTCACTCTGTTCCTAAGGCAGGACTGGCTAGGCACTCACTGCCTCTAAGGGTGGCCGGATGCTGACCTGTAGCCAGCCCCCTGCCCCAGGAGGGCCGAAGAAGGCCCAGAGACCAAGATCAAAGGGGACTCAGCTCCAGGCTCACCCCGACGGTTTCCTCAGCCTGCTCTCCCTCTCGTTTGCTCGGACACCGAGACTTTCCCCACTCCACCCTGAGGTCAGGGTGAAGGAGAGGAGTGGCAGAGAGGTCCAGTCAGCCCTTCTCAGAAGCCCAGCCCTGGGACCCAGAATCTCCCCAGCCCGCCTCACCCACACGGTTGTGGACAGGCAGGTGGGAGACTCCAGGGCAGAGGAAAACACTTCCCTGCAAGAGGCCACTACTTCCCTCGAATAGCCTTGGGCCCTAGTGCTGGTCAAGCATGTCAAATCAGGGAAACCTCACAAGGATAGCAAAGGAGGTGATACACAAACGAGCTGGGCTCCAGTCCCTCCCGCACACAAGCCTTAGCCTGACCTAGTGGCCTCATGAGACTGGCAACCCACCCTGGACACAGAGACAAGTGTCCAAGCCAGCCCAGGAGAGGCAAGAAGCCAGTGTCCTTGACTGCCCAGCAGCCAAGACCACAGTGGGTTGCTGCAGAGACAACAGGTTCTGAAGGGTGAACCGGGGACCTTTCCCTGCCACCCTCCCCAGCCTGTTCTTCAGAGACCGCTGCCTCTTTGAGGGCCTACCCTATCCATTCCAAATCAAAGGACACCTGAGGTCACAACACTGCATCTTCCGTATACACACTGCCAGCTCTCTGCCCCTATTGGTCTCAGGCTGCCCAAGAACAAGAAACCCAGGGAGCAGAAGCTCCACTGGGGTGAAGGAGCTTGGGATCAGGCCTTCCCACGACACAATGCCTGTTCCCTAAACACATGGTCCTTGGACAATTCCTGCGCAGCCTGGGAGAAGCAAGCACCACCGGGTATCTCTGAAGACAAGAGACTCCCATGTACACACGACCAACATTGCCCCACTCTGCTCATCCATGTCGCCTCCCTGGACAGCAAAGGGTACCCAGGTGACTCATGTCATGATTTCTGGCCTAATGGCTCTATCTGACTCTCCAATGGAATCAGAGATCCAGTGACTCTTAAAATACCAAGTCCGGGATTGGCCACATAGAAAGCTCAAATTCAGATACTCAGTTGGCTAAACGCTGGGGTCACCACACAAAGGCAGAGCTTCCCGTCCCCTCCTGGCCCCAGACGTACTATGTCACAGAACCAGAGGAGTCGTCAGCACGGCCCAGTGAGCCCCCAACCAAGACACCAAGAATTGGTGATGGTTTTACCCAGAGGTGGGGCAGCCCTAGAGCTGCTTCCAGCGGGGACAGGGCTATTCGGAGACACTGGAGGCTTGGTCCCAACACCAGGAGTAGATGAGGAAGCGGCTAAGTAACTCAAGGCTCAGAGATGAGAAGAATCCATCTTCCAAGGCAGTGGGATAGACAGCCAAGGCACTGAATGGTTTGGCACCTGGGAGCTTCAAGTAAAGTTGACCATGCTACCACCGAAGGGCCGAGGCTCTCCCAGACAGGGACGGGCTTCCCCTGAGCACAGACAGGCCCCACCCACCAAGGCAGGAGACCCCTGGGTCCTCAGGATCCTGCCATCTACCCTTCATCTCAGAACCGCACAAGGCATGACTGGAAAGATAATCAATACTGACTCGGAAACACGCACTCCAGAACTTGGCCATCCCGCCAGGTACCGGCCTTCAGAGCAGGCACCTCAGGACCCTCCCCTTCTCCAACCAGGCAGCTGCTGCCCTTGGGGGGCTCCCTCAGAGCCTGCAGCACAGTCTCCTGAAGGTCTCAGGGGTGGCAAAGCCCTGCTGGGGATTAGGTTTGACTTTTTGACACAGCCCAACGGAGTTAGAGTCAAATGGAGTCCAGAAAAGGGGAGGCAAACTGCATGGTGCTGCTTGCTTCCGTGTGACTAGAGTTAACAGCATCAGTTCATCTGAATGGCTCAAGGGGCTATGAAAGCAATGGAAGGAGAAGCGTTCCCCAAAATGTTTCAGGCTGTGGCAGTCACAAGGGAATAACTAAGGGCATAGCCTACCGAGCACTGAGATGGAACACACTGAGGTGAAAAGCTTCTGGCTCTTCTGCAGTTAAAAGGTGACGCTTCAGGCCTCTATAATTACACCTCCTCCTTCTCGTTTGGTCCCCTGCTTCCTCCACCCCTCCCCACCAGGCATCTTCAGGAATCCGTACTTCTTGCAAAGAAGGAAGTTTTCACCAAGAGGGAGCCCTCGGAAAAGCTGGAATTCTCCACCCCAAATGTTTTCAGCCCAAGACTCCAACTTGTGACTTAAAAACGCCACTCCCAGGCTTTCCCTGGTGGCACAGTGGTTGAGAGTCCGCCTGCAATGCGGGGGACACGGGTTCGTGCCCCGGTCCGGGAAGATCCCACATGCCGCGGAGCGCCTGGGCCCGTGAGCCATGGCCGCTGAGCCTGCGCGTCCGGAGCCTGTGCTCCGCAGCGGGAGAGGCCACAACAGTGAGAGGCCCGCGCACCGCAAAAAAAACAAAAACAAACAAACAAAAAAAACGCCACTCCCCTTCCCCGCCCCTCGTTTTCGGCAGCTGCCACGTGACGCGGCAGCGTGGTAAATAAGTCAATCAATGTGGCTGTGATGCTGCCAGTGACGGTCCCCGTTATCCTCACCTCGCTGCAAATCCCCACGCCTCGGGGAACAAAAGCTACAGGCTCCCTACACGGCAGAGCTCTCTTGCCACCCTGTGAGGGGCAGGCTGCCAGCAGAGGCCCTCGACCGAAGCCCAGACTGCAAGGGTCCACTGTGCACTCCACAGCTTGGGGGACAGCCCAAGGAATCTCATGGGTGACTTCCCTGGGAGGCACCAGCATCTCAGACGATACGACAGGCATAGTCCCACTCCCTCCTTCCCCACTCAGTCAGGAAGCGACCCCGTCACATCTCCACCAGGGAAGGAGAGCGAGGCAGCTCTAGCTTTCGGAGAGACTGAGAAGCGGGTGAGTAAGGAAGGAAGTGTGGAGCTACCCGAGCAGCCAGAGGTGGGCAGGGGCAAGAAGAAAACGCAGAAGACTCGCTCCCCTCAGTGGGCCCCTTCCCTGAGTTTGAGTTTTGAGTTGAGGTCTAATTTCAACTCAAAAAAAAAAAGAAAAAGAAAAAAAAGAAAAGAGGATCTCTCATTAACATTATCCTAAAGCTCCAGCACCAAGAAGGTGGCATCTGGCAGGGGAAGCGATCAAAAGTTCCAAACTCCACTTCCAACGAGACCCACAGACACTGAGAGCCGCGAGCCGTGAGCCTCCCTCCCAGATGCCTGAGCCTGCCCCACCTGGAACCCACCAGGCAACTTCCCTTTGGTGAAACTCCAGCTCCAGCCCCCAAAACACACTCAAGTACAGGCCCTCCTGCAGAATACTTACGGCAAACAGCTGTACAGTATTTGTACATTTACACAAAAATAGATCCTTTTCTATATATATATATGTATTTATAACTGGTTACACGTTGAAGTCATAATTAGGCATCACCAGTAGTAGTTGGCACAGTTTGTCATTTAAGCTCAGGGTCAAGTTCTGTTTCATTTCGCTGCTCCGAAGTACCAAAAAAAAAAAAAAAAAAAAAAAAAAGCATTTCATCTCCATGGTGTTTTCTTAAATACAGCAATGTCATAGGAAACCATATGTATAGATGCACAGTGCCTCCTGCCCCCTCCTCCTGTCCCTTGGAGATCGGGGCCAGGGTCTGAGGAGACGGGGGTCAGTGCGGCCGGCTGCTGGACTCCGAGGCCTGCCTCTTGCGTGAAGGGGTATAGCCATTGAGATAGCCGTTGGTCTGACGTTTGGAGAGCCCTCCATTCAGGATGTCCTGGATGTGCTGCACGATGAGGTTGATGGCCACTGTGGGGCAGAGACCAGAAGAGTGTTAGGGACACGGGGAGGGTGGGAGCACGTCTGTGGGGCTGTGTGTCTGTTTGGGTGGACGGCACTCAGGAACCAAAGGCTAAAAACTGTTCCAGGAAGCTGGCTCTGCTGCTTGCGAGCAGGTCACACCACCTCCCCAAGCCTCCATCAGAGCTAATATGACCCCCGCAGGGGCATTCTCGGAGTAGGACAACGTAGAACACGATCAGAGGCACGGACTGGATGAAAGCAATCGACCCAAATTCTGTAGACATGAGGTCTGGCCTTCGCTCTGACACCATCAATTAGCTGCGAGACCCTTCCACTGGGTCCCCATCCCATGCAGCTCCCCATCCCAAGGGCAGGGACCCCACAGAAGGCCCTCTCCTCCAAAGGTCAAACGGGGACTCTCTTTCCTTAGCCTTGGAAATAAATCATATGATTCAAGCAAATGATCAATGTTAACATCACCCAAAATGGGATAAACATCAAGTGCTCTCTGAGGCGATGACCCAAGAACACCCCTCCCCCAGGGTATTCTCCAGACTATATAAGCTGAAGCTAATCATGAGGACACAAAAGCAAACCCAAGCTGAGTGCCATTCTACAAAACAATGGGCCTGTACTCCTCAAGAATGTCAGTGTCATAAAAAACAAAGAAAGGCTGAGGAAAGTTAAAGGAGATTAAGTCAATATTAATTGTCCTGGATGTGATGAACGCACTGTGGCAATGTAAATGAAAATGGCCTTGTCCTTAAGAAATATACAGTGAAATTTTCACTGCTGTGACTAACTCCCGAAAGGCTCGGCAAAAATTTTACTTTTTAAACAGAGGAAAATTGAAATAAATGCTAAAGAGAATGAGAAGACAGGGTATTCTCACAATTCAACTCTGCCCCACTATGCCTAAGTCCAGGGATAGTCCTACTTTCTAGACAAGTCAAAGCTAACGCATAAATGCACTAGTGGTAGAAATCCCTTTCCCTTTAGGAAAGGCTACCTTAGTGGCAGGTCATTCTAAATTAGATTAAGAAGGAAATCTACTTTTGCTAAAAAATGGCCTCAGATACAAGGCAGCCAGGTATCATCACTGGGAATGACAGTAGAAGGTAATCTATTGCCCTCTGATTGTTGCCAGAGAAGCACAAGTTCACGCCTGTCCCCATTTATGTACATGCATATTCACAGGGGCCTGTCCCCGAGGCCAGATGCATAGGTATAAATACCTTTCTGGCTCACAGCAGCAGCCAGTGGCTCAACCACATCTATAGAGCCTTGTCTGGTTACCACATCCTACTCCAAAGTATAACTGACAAAGGGTAGAAGTTATGCCCCGCGGGATGGCACCCCATGAGGACTCACCTAGATTATCTGCACCTCTAGGAATGATCACATCAGCGTATTTCTTTGTCTGTGGAGAAAGATATTTACAATGCATTAAATGCATTACAATGCATTAAAGAGAGAAGCTGGACCAAGCCCCTCTTCTAAGGGAATGTGGGGAAAGGGCCGGCCTTCTACCAATCCCAGAGAGCAGCAGCTTGTGGCTTTAAACAGAATACATTTTATCCACGTTATCTAATTTATAATAAATCGGCTTTTCCCTGAGTTCTCATTAGCATCTAACATTGTTTCAGCTTACAATCTGCACAGAGAACGTGGTCTTTGAAACCAAATATATAATTGCCTCTTCACCACGAGGAAAACCATCAGTTAGTAAGACCAAACTTAAAGGGGAGCAATTCACCTTGGATTTCTATACACAGTTTATCTAGCACGAGGGTAAACCCAAAAAGAAGTAATCGCCATTGATGACCACTTTCCCTGGCTCTGTTACGACACAGCCTTAAAAAAAAGAAAGAAAAGAAAGCCCACAGACTCTCTTTTTGTTTGTAAAGTTTACTGACATTTTGTGGACCATTTTACAAATAACTTGTGTCCTGGTGAGACCACATAAACGATGCCTTAGGACATGGGCATCTGTACTCCGTGCAGCTTCCACGCTACAACTGTTGAATTGCGACTGATGCCCAACTTGAACCAGGCCGACAATTTATCAGGCCCAAGTTCCTGGTTGACGTGGGAATGAGCTGCTTTTCCCTGAGCTGAGTGGCTGGACAGGAGGAACAGGTAGAACAACCTAGAAAATATTTACGTAAAATTCTGAGCTCCATTACAAATAAGTTAAACAGCAGAAAGTTGGCAGTAAACTCTAATGTATGTTCAGTAATCAGTTTACTTTGTATTCTTTTTTTTTTTTTTTTTTTTTTTTTTTTTTGTTCGTGGGCCTCTCACTGTTGTGGCCTCTCCCGTTGCGGAGCACAGGCTCCGGACACGCAGGCTCAGCAGCCATGGCTCACGGGCCCAGCCGCTCCGCAGCATGTGGGATCTTCCCAGACCGGGGCACGAACCCGCGTCCCCTGCATCGGCAGACGGACCCTCAACCACTGCACCACCAGGGAAGCCCTGTATTCTTATTATTAAGTTAAAAAGAGCAGGAGAGGTCCTCAGATGGATGGATAGAATTTCACAGCTCCACAGCCACTTCTGCCCTCTTCCCAGAAACCTAATCCTGTGACCCAATCCTCTCCAGGGGAATGAAAAGGGCATCAGCGTTACTCAGGCTGACTCGAAGTCTGCCTGGTTCCAGGTTGAAACAAATGTCAAGTCTGTTTTGATGCAAAACCTACTAACAGACTTAAAGAAACAAAGAGACCCCCCGGGGTGGGGGGGATGGGCAGGGGTGGGGTGCGGTGGATGAATTGGGAGATTGGGACTGACATACATACACTACCATGTGTAAAATAGACAGCTAGTGGGAAGCTGCTGCATAGCACAGGGAGCTCAGCTCGCTGCTCTAGGTGGTGACCTAGATGGGAGGGATGGCAGGGGTCTAAGAGGGAGGGGATATAGGTACACGTATAGTTGATTCACTTCATTGCACAGCAGAAACTAACACAACATTGTAAGGCAATTATACTCCAATAAAAATGAAAAAAGAAAGACGGTTTGGGATCATATTTTTCCATGGGAGGAAAAAGAAGTTAATTATTAGGCAAAGCAGAGAAATCCCCACACTCGGCCACACTCTACACCTCTCATCTCCCTGAAGGCATCACCCAAGACAAGACGAAGACCCAACCTCTCTCGCTTTCTCTCAGAACTTAACCCCACCATTCCAAACCTCATGTCCCTGAGGTCTTCCCTCAACGTTTGCAGGTCTTTCATGAAGAAGCTGGGGTGTTTCCTAGGCTGAGGGCTGATTCGCTAAAAGCTGAGAATTCCACCGTCCTCACCCTTCCTTCTCTGAAAGCCACCTCACTAGAGAGTTCCCAGCTGCCGTGGGGAGGCCTGACAGAGCCCGTGCTAGGGCAGAAGTACAGAAGCCTGTTCCAATACGGCGAACCTCCCAAATGGGAACTTACACGGGGACCAACGACAAGCTCGAAACGGGGCTCAGATGTAGTGGCAGAAGAGATTCAGAAGGGAATACCTTGTAGCTGAGGCCTCCTATACCAGTACTCCAACCATCACAGACCTTCTGAAGACCCAAGTGGCTGAGTCTATCCTGGGATACTGATGCACCCTCGATAAAGGGTCTCACACCATGAGGTGGTCTCAAAGGTAGTCTCACACCATGAGCCTACCAAGCAAGAAGTGTACAGCTTGCTGGAATCAGACAGCAGGATCCTGAAGGGGTACCCCAGAAAAAGAGTGGCAGGACAGAGCTCTCGGAGAACACAGTGATAGGAAACAAAGCACCAAAGGCTGCCCTTTCTTGGGACTTGAGGATAGAGGAGGGAATGAGTGAAATCCCAGCCAGGGAGCTCAACTTACAGACCTTTATTTGTTTGATTATATTTTAAAGACTAAATTCAATGAAAAACAAGAACACAACTCACTGGCAAGCAGAATTCCTCAAAGGCAGGCTTGACGAATGTAATGTACTGAGATAAAATCTGCTCAAGGTCCCTCCCTCTTTCGCTGATGTCCCTTAATACTAGAAGAGAAGGAAAAACAAGAATCAAGAAAAGAGTGCATGAGTCAATACATGTCCGCCTTTCACGAGGCCGACCAGGATCACACAGGCTTCACAATGACTCTGGATGATTCACAAGCCGGATTCCTAAGAGACTTGACCGAGAGCCAGTCAGCAGCCGCTTTGGGAAAAACAAGTTGCATTTTCACATCTTGCTACAGTCAAATCCAGCTATGCTCTCCAAAGCAAGAGGTTTTCCAGGAAAGGCCAATAGTCTTCTGGTTTCAAGCAACATTTGACCCAAATAAAACTTCATTGAGAACCCCAGAAAAAGGCAGGACAAACTCATAATAGGAAGTGGATCGGGCCCAGAGAGGTGGTGGGGCTTCCTGGAAAAGGGTGCGGGTTGCCCGGAGACTTCTCCTTTGCCCACCCTGATCCCGTGCCCTTACACTTACCTGTGTTCAGGGTGGCAACCCTCTGCTGATGTGCCACCTCCACCTGCCTGGCTCCCACCCACACTTGAGCCCGTACAGGGGGTAGAAGTGGGGCAGAGGGCCCAGCTGTGGTCAGCCACTCCTGCCCACCTCAAGCACAGAGGTCTGCAAAGGGAAGACCTCTTAGTGAAAGATGAGAAAACCATGGTGTAAGAAACCATGGGCTGGAGCTGTGAAGCTGCCCAGATGGACCCAAACTCACCATCTTCTACCTTCTTCCTCCTGGGGGTGCTGTTATTCAGGGACTTGCAACAAACACTGCTTTTAATACAGTCTTTCATCAAAACACGGAAAAGCGTCCAGAATCCTCGTTCCGCCACTGTACACTAACCTCCCTGGGCCCGAGTTTCTCCCAAACTCAGCAAGTGAGTTTGAGTTCCATAATGAAAAACAGCCCCTCCCTACAAATGTTTTCAATCTTGGCTATTAACTCTTTCCCTCCTACCCCAAAAGGGTATCAAATCCATCTACAGTCATTTGCAATGGGCTCTCAGCTCCCCTCAATCATTTCTCAGGTAATCGTTTCAGTGTGGGATGAAACTCTAAACAAACATAGGGAATACTTGTAAGTGAATTTCTGGAAAGCCACGTCTGTAAATAATTCTGTGTTTACGTGCAGGCATGTGCACAGGAACGCACGCACGTGGGGAAGGGCAGGTAACAGGGAGAGCCTGTGGTTTTGGTCCAGGCTGGCATGAAGTCTGCACGATCAGATGGCTAGAAAACTGTCAGGGAGACCCCATTCCAGAAACCCGGGTAACAAATATACTGCTGTCACCATTGACTTCTCTACCAGCTCCTCAAATCACAAGGAGTTTTCCCCCCCGCATGAGCCCTGGCAATAAAACGGTTGGTTGGTCCTTAAATCGTCAGGATTTGCCTCACAAACCCTGCCGCCTGTGCACCCAGCCCAGCCAGGAAATGGTCTTCTCAGGCATTTGGACACAGGGCCCTGCTCCAGCTGCCACCGCTGCTGCTCTGCCAGGGACGCTCGGCCAAGTAGGAGCCCCAACAGGTGCCACGTGGCTCAGCCCCACGGCCCTCCAAGAGCTCGGGCACTCAGGCCAACGGGCCGAGCTCACCAAAACACAGAGCCCATGCGGCCTCCAGCTCTTCACACGTCTCCAGATAAGGTCCAAAGAAAAAAGGAAGCCAGACCAAAAGGGTATCAGAGCTGGGGGGAAAAAAGCAAACACACGCCCGCACTTATTAAGCAGCTTTGACTCAAAAGCCCTGCAAATGCCTGATGCCGGGTTTGTTTGACAAGACGTGCATTTCACACAACTGCTGACAGCTTCAGCACTGTGGGAACCTCTGTCCTTCCCCCAGAACACACACACACACACACACACACACACACACACACACACACTCACTCCCCTTTCACATCGCTCTGCCACTGCCCTCGGCCCAAGCCTGCAGCTCTCTTGTGTCTTGCAGACCCGAGAGCATCACCTGTCATGTCACGGGAGACAGGAACGTACCAGGGAGAAAGCAGTGGACGCAGGTGAGTCACACCTGCGACCGCTGAAGCCCGAAGCCACTTCTTGCCCCATCAGCTACAGCGATGGGGGCAAAACTCACCCAGTTTGAATCCTGACCCCATTAGCTACTACCTCTGTGGCCTTAGGCAAGTTACTTAACATCTTTGGAGCTCATTTTCCTTGACTGTAAAGCAGAGCCCATAATAGCAACTTCCTCACAAAGCGGTCACTTAGGAAGACAGGGAGATATCCATAAAACGCTTCAGCACCGTGGCTGGCACATGGCGTGTATTCAATAAGCCTATATTTCTATGAAGACAACAGGAACTGAGGAAGCTCCGGGAGGGGGATGGCTCCCTGAGACAGCAGACTGTCGTATCGGAAGGATGGGAACTGTGAACTCAGGTGAGCAGGCTGGACCCAGTGGGGGTGGGAGTCCCTCAGAGCAGCTGGGAAGGTGGGAGGGGGGGTGCGGGGGGGGCTGCAGTGCAGGAGGTGGAGGGCGGACACATGGAAAGACAGGATGGAGAGGGAGAAACAGGAAGACAGGCAGGAGGCATCCTCCAGCTTCCACCCTGGAAAAGGAGATTGGCAGTGGGTCGGCACGTTGCTCAGACGCTGGGAGCACGCAAAACCAGAAGGTTTCGCCCACCTCCGCTCCCAAGAGCCTTCCATCGAATTATTACCTTAAGCAGACGGGCCCCCTCCTTAAGCCAAGGACAGCTCGGGGCCAGCCAGTTCACTGCACTGAAACACCCTCCTCCTCAGTCAGGAAACGGGGCGAAGCCAACAACTAAGGCAGAACAAGGTCTTGGCACAAACCGGACACTCCAGGGACTTAAAACCAGCTTCCTTGTCATCACTCTGGCCTTGGCACATTTGCTGGGCTGAGACAGGCCCTCTCAGAGGGGTCTTGCAGGGTAAAGGGCAGGAAACGACAGGTCTACCCTTCCCTGCTTGGCCTCCACTCAGCCCTTCCCAATCAGCTAATGCTGCTTCACATCAGCCAAAGCTGAGAACCAAATGCAGAAGAGGACCCAGAATAAACACAATTCCCCCATGGCTGTCAATTCACTTTAAAAATTCGTTGAGGAGATGTGTTACTCTAGTAAAAGAACACACTGACCATGCCAAGGCTCACTGCAGCCCTAACTCCATGTAAACTGGGCACAGAGAGCCATGGCGGGAGAGACGAGGGGTCAGCAGTCTCAGGGCCCCCGCCTCTCGTCTCCCCTGTCCCTAATTCAAGGGTTGGTTAAATGCATATAGAGAGGGAAGGCAAAGGCAAGCTTTGCTGGGAGGAAACCAATTCCCTAGAAATACAAGGGGGTCCCTGGGAAGGAAGAAAGTCCTTCCGACTTCCAAGGCTATGAGACTTGATGCAGACCTCCCTCCCACATGAGGGTCAACCTGGAATGTGCCCAGGAGGATGTAACCCACAGACAGGTGAAATCGTAGCGCTCACTCAAGTCTCCAGGAATGTTCTTTCGCCCCACAGCTCCCGACTAACCCTCCCTCCCTCTCCCTTACCCACAAAGCACATGCCAGGCCTGTATTTTGTCCTAGGTGGACAGAGAGTGAACTTGTAGAAACAGCTTTTGCTGAAAGTGACTAAGCAGTGGGTGACGTGACAAGACAGCGGAACGGAAAGAAGGCAGCGACCTGCCCCGGGGGCACCAGGGAAGGCAGGGGGTGAAGAGAACTGACCCTAAGAAATCCCCAGAGAAGGCCACCATCACCTCAGGTCTCTCCCCCATTTCATTTAAGGATCTCAGCACAAGAAAAGGAGGGAGAAGTTTCTGTTTAATCTACCCTACGATTACTTGTTTGAATGAATCAGAGTCCAAGGATGTTGCCCCTCCACAAAACGCGGTTCTAATTTCCTATGCAATTTCTTGCACTCGCTCCACCCTCAGGCATCACTCCATCCCCTGGGATTTTAGTACCACCTGCTGGACTAATGATGCTACCAACCCAGGTGTCACCAGCTCCTGAGGACACGACTACTCAAGAGGTTCTGACAAGTCCTGAGAGAACACTTGGAAAACATAACATCATCATCTCAGGTGAAGCAGGTTTCTGATCTGCCACATGGATATTTATCGACTAATGCCACCACCAGGCATTTTACCTGCATCACCTCTGATCGGCACAACTATCCCAGGAGTACTAACTAATCCTTACATGATCAACCAATAGGAAAATAAGGTACAAAGAGATTAAAACATAATCTGGGGAAGAGATATGGGAACATATGTATATGTATAACTGATTCACTTTGTTATACAGCAGAAACTAACACACCATTGTAAAGCAATTACACTCCAATAAAGATGTAAAAAAAAAAAAAAAAAAAAAAAAAAAAACATAATCTGCCCAAGGTCACACATCTACTCAACGGTGAAACCAGGATTTAAATAATGTCCAGTTCATCTGACTCCAATTTTCCCCCCAGTGATGCCTCCCAAATTTGGCAAGCTAATATGGACATCCGAGCAGATCAGCCTAGGTAGGACCTGGGTTTGTGGATGAAGGTGATAAACCAGACCCCGGGGCAGATGCATAAGCAATTGTCAGGCTCAAGCCTCAATTATCTGTCAAAAAATACCATGCAATTCTAACCTGGCCTGTGTAACCCTAAAAAACAGGCCTGTCTCCTTCATATTACCCATTTAAATAAAAAAACCCATGCCTGGGAGGTCACAAGAGGCACCAAAGTCACAAAGCTAGCAAGGGGCTCTGCTGGGACTAGAATTCTCCTTTTTTCCATCAGGTTACTCCCACTGCCCGACACCACCGGGGAGGGGAAGTACAGCTCCCCTGACTTAAAAGAGTGTGACTCCTATTACTTCTTAGGAGGGTAAAACCCAGGGAGTCATTTCTCTAGATTCTGCCATTTCCACTTATAGTTCTTGTGACAAGAGTACTGAACTGGATAAACTAAAAATCTGTTTCATGAACCGGAAAAGAGGAAACTTCACAGACTTTGAGGTCAGAAGGCTCTGGGCTGCAGCTTATGAAATTTGACTCTGCCAATGACTTGCTCTGCGACTAGGAGCTAACCCTGGCGTTTCCTGTGTCACTCCTCTTCCGCACGATGGGGACTCAAACCTTAAGTCAGCTTTCATCCCTCTCCTCAGTCACCCACACCCCGCTGCCTTGGCTGGGGTCCGGTCAGCTCTAACTCTGCTAGGAACCTTTCTCATCTCTCCCCAACTCTCCATTCCCCCTCACACCACTCACGGGCGACAGCCCTACCTGTTGCCCAGATCAGCAAGACAGTCCTAACAAGCCATGGTGTCTCTGTTTGCGGTATATGCCTTCCTGGGCTGCCTAGGCCATCACCCCGCCACATCCAAGTCCACAACCCACTTCCCCCACAAAGCCTCCCAAGCTCTCTGGCAGAAGCAAGCCCTCTGCTTCGTGTCCCACAGAGCTGAATTCACAGGCTCCGCTCTCCCACCAGCAAGCAGTTTGGTGTCTTCAGCACTCGTGGAAGGAAGGCCTGCAGAGAGAACAACTGACTTTGCTGCCGAGCTGGGTGGACAGAGTGACCAAACCTCCACAGAACTTTCCGGAAAGCAAAGGGCGAAAGAAGCGGGCAGGTGGGACCAGCTGCCCAGAGTTGCAGGCAGAGGGTGTTCCTGTCCACCCCCCAGATGTCCTACAGTGAGTTCCCATCTTGATTATGACACCTGTGGGTAAATCATAAGGAACTGAGCACTTAACCAAACTTTTCCCCAGCAAAACCAAAACGTGAACTTCTTATGTCATCTCTGTGACCTCACAAGCTTTTCGTTATCTGAAACAGTAAGTGACTAATCCCTTCTCAAATGTCACCAAATGTTTGGGCAACAGGACATCCCTGCAGCTAGACTGACTCAGTTGGGCTGGGCCACGCAGCCACGAGGCAGCCACAGGCCCCAGAATCGGGGAGGGCAGGAGCCCGTCACAGGCCACCAACAGGGCCATCAGAGGCTTTTGGAACGCACCTCTGCGGGAGAGCCGGGTGTCCGCATCTGTGTCCACGAAAAGCTTCATCTGGAACAGGTCTCGCACTTCCTGGGAGTAGAAGGCCAGGATCCCTTCGAAGAGCACCACGTCTGCTGGGTAGACAGTAACCGTCTCCTCCTTCCTGCAAAGCACAGAGCAGATGATGGGCCGAGCCAGGTCGGGGGAGCCCGGCAGGAGGAAACAAGAGAAGCTGTCTGGGAGTCTGGGGTCCTAGCCCCCTGACGGAAAGGGCACTGAGAGGGTTTAGCTAACACAACCTTACAGGGCCCTCAGACCACCACGGAAGACCCAAGAATGAGGGCCAGGACGGCTGCAGCGAAGTTCTCCTGTGACCAGTTCTTCTGAGCTTCCGCCATAAAGCAGATGGGTAGACATCCTTCTCCTTGGAATAAAAAACCTGCTGTTGGGACCTCCCTGGCAGCCCAGTGGTTAAGACTCTGCGCTTCCAATGCAGGACACGCAGGTTCGGTCCCTGGTCGGGGAACTAAGATCCCACATGCCACACAGCGTGGTCAAAAAAACAAAAAAAACCTGCTGTTGAATGAAGAATAAAGACAGACAAAAGAAGATGTGATCACTTTTTTTTTTCCCCCTCTGAAGGCGTCTCCAGGAATGCTCTCAGCCCTGGCATTTATGGAACCTAACACTCTGAACTTTCAAAAACAGAAACTCACAGTTCTCTCCCAACAAGTCCACCCCCTCCCCCAGTGCTGAGGCAACTGGGAGGAAGAAGGAAGGGGCAGATGGAGGGAGGGGAAAAGAAAGCTTTAGGTAAGAGGGTGGGAAGGGGAAAGGATTTCTGTGGAAGGAAAGAGTCCCAGTCCTGCCAGGGTTGCCTCTGCCCAGCTCCTACAACTGTCTTCCTTATCAATAAAGCAGGGATGGGCTTCCCTGGTGGCGCAGTGGTTGAGAGTCCGCCTGCCGATGCAGGGAACACGGGTTCGTGCCCCGATCCCGGAAGATCCCACATGCCGCGGAGCGGCTGGGCCCGTGAGCCATGGCCGCTGAGCCTGCGCGTCCGGAGCCTGTGCTCCGCAATGGGAGGGGCCACAACAGTGAGAGGCCCGCGTACCGCAAAATAAATAAATAAATAAATAAAAATAAATAAAGCAGGGACATACATTACCTCATCCATCTCCCCACAGGATTGGGAAGCCCAAGGCAGATACTACTGTAAACACGACTTTTCAAAAGCCAGGGGAGTGAAACCAAATGGATAACCGGGGCCTGCTGGGGTCCAGCTCCGCCCTGTCTCAACTTTCACTGCAATCTTGTCTTTTGCTTCTGTCGGAAAACCACCTTGCACTTCACCTCAAAATTCACGAAAAGGGAAGTAATGACGCCACTGCAAGGTTTACCACTCACCCTAACTAGCAGACATTTGTGAAGAAACCACACAGTTATTTCAAAAGTTCCTTAAGATTATAGGTTTTATCTGTGCAAACACAGTGAAGTCAGCAGCAGCTGGCCACTAAGAAGGGACTTCCCTCCCAGAAACATGCTTTGATTCTTTATTGGCTCAGTCCCCTGGGTTCCTGTCTAAATTCTAAGGCAGCACTGTTGGAGCAACTACCAAGGTGGCAGAATATGGAGCATGAAAGACAGCAGAAAAGCACCAGGTTAGTGCAATTAGGAGACTCTTTAGGATGGCGGTATTAACTCTGGAGGCACACAGAATCATCTGAGGAGCTTTTAAAAATATTTATACCTGGACCCTACTCCCCTGGGGCTCTGACTTCATTAGTCTGGGGTGGAGCTAGAGCATCGATATTTTTTAAAAGCTCCCCAGGTATTTCTTTTCTTTTTTTTTTTTTAAAGTCATGAAACTTTATTTACTTAACAGCAGAGGTTCGAAGTATATTGAGCGGATAAAAATACCAGGAGAAACTGCATCCACGTTGGTATTGGAGAGACGCCTAACTTCTGTATTTTAGAAACTGACAGATGAAGTAGCAATAAAGAAGGAAATGGAAAGTATGAATAACACAATTAGCAACCATGTATGTGTTTGTGCGTGCACACAACTTTGTACAAAACTTTGAAATACAACTGCAGCAGGCACAAAAATTAACTTAGGCCACAATGGAATATTAACCAATTCCGAAGAGTAGAACTCACTTGTGTTTTTCTTTTTATTTATCCTGCTTGGGAATTTGTTGCATTTCTTGAATCTATGGATTTAGTGAGTTTCATTAGTTCTGGGGAAAATTAAGTTACTGTCTCTTCAGATATTGCCTTTATTCTCTTTCCTTTCCTCCTGACTAAATATTTTTCAGGTCTTTTCACTGTCTTTTATGTCTCTTAATCTCTCTTCTGATTTTTTTCTGTCTTCTTCTTTCCTTAATGCATTAATGAATGATTTCTTCAGATCAATCCCCTAGTGTTTGAATTGGGTTTTTTTAGGTCCATTTTGCTGCTAAATATGTCTACTGAGTTTTAAAAATGTGCCGTTGTGTTTTCCGTTTCTAGAAGCAATGTTTGTTCTTTTTCCATATTTGATACATTATTTTTAATTTTTTCTTTTTTTAAAATATTTACGTTTTCTTCTCCCAGTTTCATTGAGATATAATTGACATAAAGCACTGTGTAAGTTTAAGGTGTACAACATAATGATTTGACTTACATACATCATGAAATGATTACCACAATAATGGTAATAATGTTCAGTGAACATCTGTCATCTCATATAAATGAAATATTTAAAGAAACATTAAAAGAAATATTAAAGAAATAGAAAACTTTTTTTGTGAAGGAACTCAGGATTTAGTCTCTTAACTTTCATATATAACGTACAACAGTGATTATCTTTATCATGTTGTACGTTACATCCCTAGTACTTATTTATCTTATAAGTAGAGTATGTACCTTTTGACTATCTAGTTCTCCCTCCCCCTGCAAGCCCATCTCCCCATTTCCCCACCTCCCCAAACTCCCCACACTGGTATCAATAAGTTTGATCTCTTTTTCTATGAATTTGTTTTTTGAAGTATAATTGACATACAATACTACGTTAGTTGCTGGTACACAACACAGTGATTTCATATTTCTATACATTTCCAAATCATTACCATGCTAAGTCTAGTTGTCATCTGTCACCATACAAAGATATTACATTATTATTATTGAGTATATTCCCCACACCGTACACTTCATACCTGTGATTCATTTATTCCGTAGCTGGAAGTCTGTACCTCCTAATCTCCCTCACCATTTCTTCTTCCCTTACCCCCTTCCCCTCTGGCAACCACCCATTTGTTCTCTGTATCTATGACGCTGTTTCTGTTTTCTTGTTTGTTCATTTGTTTTTAGATTCCACATAATACATGAAATCATACAGTATTTGTCTTTCTCTAACTGGTTTCACTTAGCATAATACCCTCCAAGTCTACCCACATTGTCGCAAATGACAAGATTTCAGCCCTTTTTTAAAAAAGCTCCCAGGTATGTCTACTGTGCAGCCAGGGTTGAGACACGCCAACCCTAGAAGAATGTCAGGTACTGGAAAACAGGGTGCTCATTGTGGTTTAGGATAAGGAACCAAACTGGGCAGAGTTCAGAAGCAAGATGGATAGAAAAAAGGATCCATGAATGAGTGAAATAATGAGTCACTCTAGGCAGCTGCCCTGGGCCAAGAAGAGGGCAGAAAGGCTCTGCCGGGAAACAAAGCATGTGTGTGGGATTCCTAGGGTTCCATCTGGAATATACAGAGTGAGTGCAATGACTGTGCTAATGTACCCAGACTGACACTGTCTGGCAGTGCTGATCAGCTTGCCTAACTGATAAACACTAAAAAGGAACAGGTGGTTTTCCAACTCAACGGTCATGCCTCTTCAATCCTGGGACAGTAAGGAGAACCAAACTGCCTGCTCTGTGGGTGGTGCCCCCAAAAGTTGAAATCAATCACTTCCCAAGTCCACATGTAGGTCTAGGTGGGAGAAAATTTAGAAATAGCCTAGAGCTAAAAACAACATTTATTGAGCACCTACTAGCCCAGGATGTGCCAGGAACCGATGGTGCAATATTCTGTTTAGGAGTTTAGAGATGGGCTGGGAGGTTCACATAAACCTGGAGTATTAGAGCATTTCGGATTACCAAATTTGGGATTACCTAGCCCAACCTTCTCATTTGACAATCATTCCTTACGATAAAGAAGGGGAAGGCCAGAGAAAGGTATTTACAGAGAATAGGTGACTTCTCAGTTGTAGCCCAACATTTGTTTGTGGTCACCATGAAAGACCCATGGCTGGGATGGGATCAGTTAACCCTGGACAGCTGGGTCCCTCACAAGTGGCTCTTAAGAGTTGGGGGGGACTGCTTGTGGTCTTAGGTGGTCACAAAGCTTCATGCAAGAGATGGGCTCTGGGCCACTAAAGAACAGGATTTTAAAATAAAAGGTATGAGAGGGGAATCTGGAGAAAAAAGTGAAACACATCTGGACGGGCAACTCTGCAGGGTTTTTTTTTGTTAATACGTGAACTTGATGGAGCTTGTGCTGCACAAGGTACTCATCTTCACCCCCTGCCCCCCGACTGCACTGGTCAGGCCCTGACTCCTGCCAACTGCCCTCACTCCACTCCCTTCCATCAGGCCTGTATCAGTCTCTCACCTGGGCCACTCCAAGGGCTTCCTAAACAGCACTGTGAATCCTCGTTCCTGCCACAAAACTGACCTCTCCATTCCTACATAACTGCCATCTATGGCTCCCTACTGCCAACATGTTTGTCCTCTGGCCCTGGGGTCCATCCATGGTCCTTCCTGATCTGAGGCCTGCCTGCCTCCCCACCTCCCGCCGCTCCTCCCACACACTGACCCCCATCCCTCCACACCTAACCTACTGCAATCCCCCACCAAGCTGGCCCCTGAAATGCCTACCTACCCATCACCTTGGAAATCCCTTTCCCAACAGCTTCTCATGCTTTCCAATGCACAGCTTAAATATCATCTCCTTTACACAACCTGCGCTAAATACTCCAGCCCTTCCTCCCTCCTACTGCTCCACATCCCCTTGCCTCAGTCGTCAGGTTGCACTGTAATTCTGTAGCAGTACCCTGCCCAGGACCTGAGAGGTGGTAGGCTAAACTGTCTCTTGTCAACTTGACGTCACCACCACTCCCCCAAGGCTAGAAACTACAATTCCCAGAATCCCTTTCCCTACATGGTCCCAGCTACTTTGCCAATGGGAAACTCAGAAGATGAAAGTGATTACCACAACACTGTAAATCAACTATACCTGAATAAAATAAAGGTTTAAAATTAAATTTAAAAAGAAGATGAAAGTGAAACAAAATCTGTAATTTTTAGGAGACCATAATAGCTAGACAAGGAAACTGCAGACACTCCGTAAGTTCCCATTCAGAGGCTGTGGGCCCGGATGGATGCAGCGGATTCTTGGACTTTGCATGAACCTAGCTTCTTCTCCAGATGGCAGCTCAGGCTGCCATCACTGGGGACGAATTTCTCTGATTCTCCGGCTGCGGCCTCCCAGATCTTTGCTCTCCCAGCCCCCTCGTTATTCATGTTAGCTCCAGTTCCCTATTCTAAGCGCCCCTTTATTCCTGCATAGTCTGGAGAGGTTTGATATAGGAGGCATATCTTGTTCTCTGAATGTCCTGCACAGCAGAATCGGGTCCATAGTAGGAAGTACTTCAAGAGCTACTGGTGAGGGATGAAGGTGAGAACCAAAGCAGCCCGGCTTTCCATCACAATGTGCTCTTTTCTCCTCCTCCAACCCAATCTTTGCCACACCCTCAAGTTCTGAGAAAGTTCATGAGAAGAGCACAGAACATGTGAGCTAACTGCATTAAAGGCTGAGATGTGTCCTAAAGGAACACACAGGGAGATGAAGATTGGGCTTTTAATTATAGAAACATTTGGTAGTAAACATTTGGTAGTAGAAACATTTTAATGATAGAAACATTTGTTTTTAATTATAGAAATATTTGGTATGAAATCTAACTTCCCATTTTTAAAAAATCAACTCAAGAGAGAGTGGGATAAAGAAACCAAGAAGGAAAATGAAAAGTGGGAGGGAGAAACTTTCAAAAGATCCCAGAGCTAAAAACAACACTTACTGAGCCACTACTAAGGAGCTACACGTGATGTGACACAACATTTACGAGTGTCGAATGTGCCTGGGAGGTCCCCCCAAGGAGACAAAGTGAGCAAAGAGCTCTGTGTAGCTCTGAAAGAGCTTGGGGTCTGGCTAGCAGGAGGGAAGTCCTCCAGAAGCCCCTTCCCACCACTCAAGAGGGAAGGAGGCTGTGATGGAGGTCAAGCTACTCTGCTATTCTATTAGGAGCATGAGAATCGACAAATGGAAAGGACAGGTCTGACGTGACTGAGAAGCTCTCTGGTGGGTCTAGTCTTTGGTGACCCCAGTGCCCTCACACCTCCCCACACAGCTCGATCCCAAGTAAACCAGGAGAGCAGAAAGAACAGCTTCTTTTCTTCTTCTTCCTGTTTTTCCTCTACCATACCCCCTTGCATTTGTTCCAGGAACAACAGCTTGGGCACGTGGATGAGGACGAATGTGCAGTCCCTCACCTGAGTCCAAATTCACAAATCTAACCCTTCAGAGTTAACAAAGCATGATGATCACGATGGGACTGTTCCAGGAAGCACCTGGATGAATTCCTGACCCCGTGCACCTACAGGCATGCTGACGCCACCGCCCTGTCACTGACAGGCTGCACTGGGCACCAGACACATGGGGGTGGGGGGTGGGGGGGCGTGAAGAAGCCTGGAACTTCTGGGGACCCTCTGGGGAGCAACAGGTAACAATCCCCAGCCCAGAGCAGCTCACTTACCGGGAATGGGAGACAAAGTCATACACAGGAATCTGGACTGTTTTCCCTTCGGTGATTTCTTTGAGTGTCTTGAAGATGAGTTCATTGTCAAAGGCATCTGAAGGAAATCAAACTATTAAGATGTTTCTTAATTGTAAAATGATTCCTCCTATAGTGATGAACAGGGCATCCCTATAAACCTATTATTTCACATACGTGTATCACACCCTAGAGAAGCATCCCCTCCCCACAAAAAAGCCAGATTTCTACCTAAAGCAGAATGCGAATTCCCTGCATCTCAAACCAAAGTGTATAAATGAGTTCTGAAAAGTGGATTCTTTTTTTTTTTTTGGCTTGCCATTCCGTCTCTGGCCTCAGACATCTCTGTCCTCTCTCTAAATCCAGCAGCATACGATAACCTGGAAAGCATACTCACAACTAGGGCACTGCAGCAGGCACCACACCAAGTTTTGACTCTCACAGTTACAAGAACTCCAAACCAGCTAAAGGGGCAGTGTGCTCATCTGGGACTGTTAGGGCCAAAAACATTCAGGCAGCCATCCTGGACCCTCCACCCCACTCTCTGCCAGTCGGTGAGTTTAACACACGAGCCATGTACACGCACGTGCTGGGTGCTGGCGGGGGTGTGTGACACAGGCTGCAGCAGAGCAGGAGGCGGGAGAACCAGCTGTGTGTGCGCTAGCCTGCGTCTGGCCCACCCTGAGTAATAGGCTTCTCCAAGAGTCACCCTTGTTCAGACACAGATTCGATCAGTATTTAAGGCGCCACGCACCAGAGGATGCGTTGCAAAGTGCTTCTTTCCTATAAGCCCCACCGCAACCCCGCAAGGTACCTAACAGTCCTCCATTTTATGGATGGGAAACAGAGAGGTTAAGTAACTTCTTCAACCAATCCCCCCCACAGACGCCCCTTCAATGCCCCGACTCACCCGGGTGATCAAAATTGAACTGGCCCTTCAAGGCTTTGGCCTTCTGCTCTGCAGTGAGGACACGGTAGAAGCTATCCTGGCTCAGGATGACCACCTGCTTCTGGCGATAATCCACCTCATTCTGTCCCAGGAGCTGAACAATCTTAGCACAAACGGAAGACTGTAAGGAAAGAAGGGAACACCACGGAATAAGGGAGGTCCAGTCACTGAGCTGATGTGTGCGCCCTGAGCAAGGGGGCCTTTGGAAAGAAGAACCCAAAGGCTACCATATCTTGGATGATGCATTAGGGGAAGGGAGGAAACGTCTGCTGAGAAGGAATTCGGGGGCCCCAAAAGTCTCTTCCTCTCTTTCCTTAACACAATTTACTACGCTCAGGTATCCACAGTGAAGGCAGGGGAAGGAGGGCCGTAATCTCTAACTCCTCTTCCATAAAGCCTTCCCCAAAGCTACTAATAAAAGGTGACACTATTTTATTCTTCCTTGCTTGCACCCTGGTATAGATACACAGAAAAGACAGCACAAAGTGGGGAAAGGGCACGTTGAGGCTGTGCTGATGGGCCAAAGGGCCTCTGGGTCATGAAGTGACTGGGCATTTGCTAGACATCTCACAGCCCCTGCACATCTCTTTATGTCAAAGGAATCTCATAGCAGAGAGCTTGGCTGGTTGGCAGTAAGGCCAAGGTCATGGCTTCCATCCTACTTCTGTTGGTTTCTTTTGCTCTGGTCCAGAGCCATGGACATCATCGCCCTCATAGTACCCCAGACAGCCTTGTCACAGATGTGTGCCCCCGCTTTTAGAGCTGGAGACATAAACATCACCAATACCTGAAACAACCTAGGGGTATCCCAACTAAGACTAGGGACGCCAGTTCCAGATGAACTCAAACCTACATGCTTTGTATTGTGTTGCTAGTAATACACATATCTGACTCCTTTTCTCTCCAATAACATACGCTCTTTGTAAAAGGAAAAGTATAAAACCAAGTGCATTCCAAAGAATGAGATAGTGAAAGATTGTATTTACCAAGTAACTCTTTTCTTTTTTTTTCATTTGATACAAAGATTAATTGAAAAATAAGAATGTCTACATTACAAAACCTCTAGAAGCTGTAACTCAAGCCCCCTATGGAACTGGTTGACCTAATTACAAGCGATGAAAAAATGAGCAGTTAGAGGTATCTCGGGCTCAGCCTTATAAGTCTTACTATTGAACTTATTTTACCAACTGATTTTACAGGGAAAACCCAGGAAACTGTTAAAAGTTCTTATGAAGAATGTATTTGATTTGTCCAAGCATAAGGAAAACTGGTCATTCCTGTTGTACTAGCCAGTGCAAACTAAAACTATTTTGAATTATACTCCAATAAAGTTGTTAAAGAAAAAAACTATTTTGCACAATATGTCCTGTTGTACACGTGGTGAAACACACTGCCATATTATAAGGATCTGTGGGGGAAATTTTTTTTTTTTTTTTTTTTTTGTGGTACGCGGGCCTCTCACTGTTGTGGCCTCTCCCGTTGCAGAGCACAGGCTCCGGGACGCACAGGCTCAGCAGCCATGGCCCATGGGCATGCTGCTCCGTGGCATGTGGGATCTTCCCGGACCGGGGCACGAACCCGTGTCCCCTGCATCGGCAGGCCGACTCTCAACCACTGCCCCACCAGGGAAGCCCGGGGAAAAATATTTTGACTCAACTGTTAATTATTAGAAAATTATCTTACTTTTATGACACTTTTGCATATTAACACACAAAAAAGCATTTAAAACTACTTAGGATTTTTGGAACTACAGATGTGCCAAAAGAAAGAAAAAAAAAAGAATCACAGGAAGGTATAAAGCTTGCACATGACTTAAACTACATTCAAAAATGAAAATGCTACAACAGAATCAAAGGTTCTATGCAATCAAAACCTCTTTAAGTTTTTAAACATGTATAGGCCCATAATTTCCTCTTCCTAGCTCAAGGCTATGAGAGGGCAACTTTTATACCTGCAGCCTTCACTAGTAGATAGAACTCCTTCCAGAAGTCCAAAGAACAAAAATGAAAAGAGGGATTCATGGACCCAGATATATATAATCTATCAGGTTATTCAAATAATGGTATTTTTTTATTTGTAGCTAAAACACATTAAATGTGTGTTTTTTTAAGAAGAATAGTAATCCCACCACTGCCAGAAAAGTATATAAGGAAGTTACACTACTTAATTTCACAGATAAACCATCATTTCCCTTAACCCAGGCACAACCTAGGACAGAACCTATCCAATGGCCAATAAAATTGGTTAATGAACATACAATAGGTACAATTCTAGAACGTTAGTGCTCATCACACTCTCTAACAAGAGTAAGGATGGCTGGGGAATTTCCTGGTGGTCCAGTAGTTAGGACTCAGCGCTTTCACTGCCGGGGCCTGGGTTCGATCCCTTGTTGGGGAACTACGATCCTGAAAGCCACGTGGCGTGGCCAAAACAAAGCAAACAAACAAAAAAGAGGGTAAAGATGGCTGTTTTGTTGGTCCACAGCTGCTTGTCTCAGCTCTATGTTTTCAAGGACTGAGCTGGTGATCGTTCTTTCCACAAACATACCACCACCACCAACTGCTAACATTTTAACTGATTATTGGTTAGGTGTCAGGCCCTAGGCCAAGTGCTCCATTACAGCTACCCCCAGAAGTCACAAGTGTTACCCTTCACAGATGTGGACACCAAATTAAAGGACTTGGCTACAGTCATACAATCCTGGTTCCTTTCCTCTTCAACTTAAAAGTAGTCAGGGACTTCCCTGGTGGCACAGTGGTTAAGAATTCGCCTGCCAATGCAGGGGACACGGGTTTGATCCCTGGTCCGGGAAGATCCCACATGCCGTGGAGCGACTAAGCCCGTGAGCCACAACTACAGAGCCTGCGCTCTAGAGCCTGTAAGCCACAACTACTGACCCGCATGCCACAACTACTGAAGCCCGTGTGCCTAAAGCCCATGCTCTGCAACAAGAGAAGCCACCACAATGAGAAGCCCGCATGCGCAATGAAGAGTAGTTCCCACTCGCCACAACTAAAGAAAGCCTACGCGCAACAACAAAGACCCAATGCAGCCCAAAATAAATATAAATAAAATAAATAAATTTATTTTTTTTAAAAAAGTAGTCAGAAGTGGGGGGTGGGATAAATTTGGAGTTTGGGATTAACATATATACACTACTACATATAAAACAGACAAATGACAAGGATTTACTGTATAGCACAAGCAACTATATATATTCAATACCTTGTAATACCTATAATGGAAAAGAATCTGAAAAATAGATATAGATTTATGTATAAGTGAATCACTTTGCTGCACACCTGGAACTAACACGACACTGTAAGTCAATTATGCTTCAAAAAAAAAAAAGGTAGTCAGAAGTTCCAAGCCGAAGAAACCCTTTTATCACTCAGGAGATAAACACCACTGCATGAACAAACAAAGAAACACTTGCCTCTAGGTTAATTTAGATTTTTCTAGTATTTTCTTCTTTCTGGAACTTGTTAAAACTGTTAAATCAGGGCGACATATACTTGGGGAGGGGTTCATTGCCTCTACTGGTGCTTAGGTTTGAATCTTCACACAATCAGAAAGAAGAAGTCCTACAGAGGATGTCTGCAATGAGTGAATGGTTTTTTCCTTACTGAAGGCCCTCCTTCACTTTAATTTCCCTTTTCTCTAAGCCTACCCTTTTCAAAAGGATGAAATGGAGGTGCAAGGTGTCTTGTTCCCTCAAGAAAGGAAGTAAGTCACTAATGACTATGGTTTGAGGAGAAGGCAGGCAATCCTGAGCTTGTAGAATGCTAAAAATGGGAGAGAGCGCAACTGCTGGGGTGAGCTAAGACTTATTAAATAATTATAGTCACAAAACCACAAGTACCATATGATCCCACTCAGGAGGTATGTAGAGTAGTCAAACTCATAGAAACAGAAGGTAGAATGGAGGTTGCCAGGGGCTGGGGGAGGCAGGGTAGTGGGGAGCCGTGTTACGGATATAGTTTCAGTGTTACATGATGAAAAAGTTCTGGAGATTGGGTGTCCAACAATGTGAATATACTTAACACTACTGAAACGTACACTTAAACATGGTTTAAGATGGTAAATTTTATGTTATGTATATTTTACCACAATTAAAAATAATAATTATTATCATAAGAAGAGTCCACATTTAAGGGGCAGTTTCTTGCTATGTGCTGATACTGGGCTCAACATTTTTAAATCATCCCATTTACTTATTACAACCTTGTATGCTGGCCATTATTATTATACCCACTTCTACTTACGGTGAAGCCTGAGGTGAAGTGACTTGCCCAAGTCAAGTGGCAGTGGAGCCAGGATTCCAACGCGAGGAGTCCAACCCCAGAGCCCACCCTCCTTCCAGCTGCACCTCCCAGGCAAACTGGTACCACCCGTGGGGCTGGAGGTAAACTCAGTTTTGCATGGTATCTCCACATGTAGCGCGATGTATCCAGAATGTCTTCTGTCCCTGCCACTTCTACTACACTATTTTAAAAGAAGAGGGGGTGGGGGACAGGACACACAGCGACAAGCCAGCTAGGGTTGCTGTCTGAATACAAAGTTAAGATCAATGAGGTTAGCTTTAGAAAAGGAAAAAAAAAAAATCATACAGAAGACTCAGGGAAGGTTATTTACAATTTCTTCACTCCTGTGCCATTTTGAAGACATTATCTCAATTCTTTTACAACAAGATACTATTTTATCTTTTTTTTTCCTTAAGGAGAAAACTGAAGCTTAGAGATTTCATTCAAGCTGAATGGCTTGCTCAAGGTCATGGAGCCGAATCTCAAGCCACAGATCTTCTAACTGCAAAGGCACAATTCTTTTCACTATTCCAAACTGAAGCAGCTTTGGCATCATCCCCACTACTCTCTATAAATTTACTCCACTTCCAGACAGCAGGGAGGGAACTGGTTAGAAACGTAATACTGTTTTGTCCCACTGTATCATTAAAGTCAACTTTCATAGAATTTCATGTGACTCAAGGCAGGCAAGTGATTTGTATATCAAAAAGAAGCTAAAAGTACACACACACACACACACACACTCAAGGTATTTGGAACCTAAATTTGGATTATGCTCAACAAATCCAGCTGTTCGGAGCCAGAAATTTGGAGGGCC